GAACTAGCACAAAGAATCAACAACTGAGATCTCATCTTATTAAAAAGCTTCTGCACTGCAAAAGAAACTACCAACAGAGCAAGAGACAACCTACAATGGGGGAAAATGTTTACCAGCTGATCCTCAGACAAAGGACTATGATCTAGAATATATAAAGAACTCAAAAAAATAAGACCTCCCCAAATATAAAGATCCAATTCAAAAATGGGCATCTGAAATGAACAGAAATTTCTCAAAGAAGTAAAAGCAGCAAATAAATATATGAAAAAATGTTCAGCAGCACTGGCCATTTGAGAGATGCAGATGAAAACAACACTGAGATTCCACCTCACCCCAGAAAAGAATGGTTGCTATCAAGAAATCAACCAATAACAAATGCTGGTGAGGTTGTGGGGAGAAAGGGACCCTTCTTCATTGTTGGTGGGAGTGCAGACGGGTGCATTTCCAGTATATTCTTGGCTATAAATAATCTAGAGATGACTTTCTATACAGCAGGATATGGGTAGAATACATGCAAACATTACTCCATTCCACCACAAGGAGTGGAGCATCAAATGACTTTTGGTGTCCTCTGGGGTCCTGGAACCCTTCCCCCACAGATGGCTGTATCCAGCTTCTGGGGCACCTACCTGTCAGGCTAGGTCTCTGTTCCTACCACTCTGTCTCTTCCCAAGAGGTGGCCCTCAAGTTCCAGGCCAGGAGCCACATCATCTGCCCTGGGGACTCCAGCAGGCTTTCACTGTGGGCCCAGGCCTTCACTGGGCTGTCTCACTCCATGTAAAGAGACTGCTACATCCAGCTGTGAATGTGCTCAACCAAAGCTTTCAAGGAATAAAACCAACTTCACGTTGAAGTTTAAGTGAGGTTTTAGACAAATTTGGCAGAAAGATGTATAAGAATAATAAATTGACTGCACAGGAAACACTGAAAGTTGGACAGTGTGGAACCTTATTTAAGCAAACATCCAGGCCCACTGTAAGAACTGAAACAAGCAGAAAGTGTTGATAACAGGAATATAAAATTCAAGATAAATAAGACCCCAACTAGGATTTAGCTACTAAATAAAAGGGTGAGATACTAAACTGTACATTTAAAAAAGAGTTAAGATGATAAAATTTATTCTATGTATATTTTACCACAATTTTAAAAGAAGGTGGTAGGAAAGGATTACATAGAAAAGGAAAAAGCCAAAATTAATTTTAACACAAATAACCGGGAAAACTAAAAGTACCTGTAAGAAAGGTCACAAAAGGTCTCCATTTGGAAACAGGACTCCACATTTGGATTAGATGGGAAATGATGCCTTGAGAGCCAAAAAAACATGCAAGGTAAGCAGAGAGGTAAAACTGAAGCCCATTCACTAACCAAACAAAGTATCAGTGGGCAGGAGAGCACACCACCACACATTGACACACTCAATACACCCACGCACAACCACTCATCAATCTTTTCTGCAGTAACAATGAATGAACATTCTGACTTGGTGACTCTACTTTAGAGACCAAGAAGAAAAGATGTCTTCTTCTGAAGCATCCCAAAACCTGGGAACAATAAAAAAGAAGTCACTAACACTGCCTACTCTATTCATCTTATAATGCAAATAGGACTATAAGACTCTAGTAATGCAACAGCACCCTTCGTAATCCTGTAATTCTGACTGCATTTATTCTAATATACAAGATTAATTCATTCAACTTATTCTCCACATAGCCCTTAAATGCTTGTAGTGTTAATTGTGAATTCTCTTAGTATTCTTGTAGACTTTTTTCCTTGAATAACATACACATGAAACACATATAGGCTTGTTTTTCACAAGGTAAATGCACAAAAATTAGCATTCACAAGCCCTCTCATATCCTATTCCAAACACTTCCCCTAATGACCACAAGGAAAATCAATCTGACTTCTCTTGTATCAGTTAGTTTTACCATTTTTTAAAACTTTTGTAGGGCTGGGGATTTAGCTCAGTGGTACCGCAGCTGCCTGATAAGCCCAAGGTCCTGAGTTTAATTCCTGGTACCAAAACAAATAAACAAACTTATGTAAATGGAATCAAAGTAAGCACAATTAATCTAATTTCTCTGTTAAACATTGTATTTGTGAGAATCCAAATTTTTACATGTAACTATAGATTTTTCATTCTAACCATGGGGGGAGTAACCAGGGATCAAACTCAATGGGGGCACCACTGAGCTAAATCCCCGGCCCATCTTTTTAATACTCAGTGTGTGACTGTGTCAAAACTTACCCATTTTACTATTTTTATTTTGAGTGTGTGTGGTACCAGGGATCGAACTCAGGACCTTCAGCTTGAGAGGCAGGTAGCAGCACCACTGAGCCCATTTTACTACTGATAGGCAGTTGGAGAATTCCAATTTGGACTAGTAGTCCTGCGATATACACATTTTTGTCCCTGTCTTCTGGTGACTATATGTACACAATTCTGTTGTGTATAAATCTAACAGTGGAACTGCTGAGTCACAGGGCATGCTTGTGTTCGACTTTAGTAAATAATTTAAAAAATTTTAAAGAAGGCATTATTTTAGGGTCCGGGGATTTAGCTCAGTGGTTCCGCCGCCTGCCAGGCAATCACAAGGACCTGAGTTCTATCCCCAGTACCAAAAAAAAAAAAAAAAAGACATATTCGAAAGTCTTCATAGTGAGGTGTAAATGATTTATGATTCACTAGAAGGTGCTCACTTCCAAAATTAGTACTTACAGGAAGAAAAGCACATTGAAGGCGGATAGTTCATGCTTGTGGTTCCCAAAGGGGGCAATTTGCTTTAGAATATTTTTACCAGCAATCTGGCCTGTGACACTTAATAACATTTAGAAGTAAGGAATTGCCCCTTGTCATTTCTGGAACTGATGATGCTAAAATTCAAAAATAATTGAAGAGCCATCACAATTATCAATAAGGTAAAGTAACAACTTTTCAACATGTTACAGAATATTATAAATGTTCCAAGTCAGCATCTGTATCAGGTAAACCTGTACTCTCAATTGGAATCTTGGAAACTGATTTTTGGGGGTTTTTTTTTTCTTTTGTTTTGTTTGAAACTGATTTTTTAAAATGGCTAGGGATGTGTAGCTCCTAGTGCAAAAGCCCTAGATTCAATCCCCAGTACCACCACCAACAACAAAAAGACATAATTTTTTAATTTGGAAACTGAAAAGAATTTCAGAACTACAGTGTTCTACCTTTCAGGTGGTTATATAAATAAATGCCTTCTACCTCAATGAACATGCTAATAAAAATTCATTTACCAACCTTCAGAAAAAAAATAAATAAAACTATTTAAATAGGCACACAAAAAAAGACAAACAGGAGATCTGAGTGAAGTATGGATTTAGCTGGTAATACTAGTTCCAGAATGGTTTATTAATTGCAACTAATATGCAATAGTGATGTAAGATGTTAATAATAGAGAAGGGGGGGCACCTGGAAACTGTACTACCTTTGCATTTACCCTAACCCTAAGACTATTCTAAAACAAAATATATTTTTATTTGTTTGTTTTGGTACCGGGGATTGAACTCGAGTCCATTCCGCGTGCAAGGCAGGCCACCGAACCGCTGAGCTAAATCCCCAGCCCCCAAAATATATTTTTAAATGTCAACTGAAAACTACAAAACATAATCTGCAGATTGTGATGTACTTGCTAAACTCTTTTCAGAATGCAATACAGATACACCTTAGAAGGTATCTATCTCCATCTCTCTTTCTCACCTATGGGATTGAATACATAGATACATAAAGACACCATTCTATCTATGCTGATTTTAATTTTACTCTAGCTATAAAACTATGACCAAGGATCAGACTTCTTTTTTTATTCCATCTGATCTAACCTTTCTGTGTATACACTGTAATGATTAAGAAGCAATCAACAAATAAAAGCATCCAAATTCCAAGCAAGGCCAACATTCCAACAACTATATTTTTGTGGTTTAAATCAAGTCTTTGCTTGATGTAGAAATAAAGAAAAGAAACACACTGTGTCTTCAGCTAGTTGAGAAAACAAGCAGCCACTAATATGATATGAAACCTATAAAAGGAACCCTGGCAAGAAGGCAGGAGGCCTACCTTCTAGCTTCATTTCTACAGCTAGTTTGCTCTTTGATCCTTAAATATCTCTTTTCCTTAATACCCATGATTTCAGGGCTATATTAACTACAATAATTATTCCAAGAATCAGGAGGACCTTGTTAATCACTTCTTGGCTGTATCAGATATTCTAGTTAAATCTTTTATCCTTATCTATCCAATAAAACCCTTAGAGAATCTAAAAGATAATAATATCCTGCTGTCATCATAGTTTTCAGTTTCCTTTACCTTGTATTAGTAATCAGACATATATAATTAAATTCAATGGTTAGGTTCAATATTGACTGTATGGGGAAATTTGATGATTCAGTTCACATCAAGTTCATTTTATGACCAAAATTGTAGAGAGAACTGAGTTTGTGAACCAAGGTACTACTGTGTGTGTGTGTGTGTGTGTGTGTGTGTGTGTGTGCGTGTAAGTAAAATATTTACTTGCTAGTCAACAACATTTTGACATAGGTCTAGGCTCTGCTGTTTTCTCTTTGGAAGCCTATTTGAAATCAAGTGTGACTCTATCAAGATTATAGTTAAGTGAAATTTGCATTTTGGTTCTTGTAAAACAGAGTTGACAAAGTTTTTATTTACAGGCCAGATAACAAGTATTTTAGGTATATAGACCATATGGTCTCTGTAGTTAACAACTCCACTCTTTCCTTACAGTACAAGAGCAGCCATGGCCAATATATAAATGAATGGATCTGTATATTGATAAAAATGTACTTATAAAAACAAGCAGCAGTCTAGGCCGTAGTTTGCCAGACCCTATTTTATAGTAACAGGGAGCAGTAAAATCAACTGGAAAGATAAATTTTATAAAACCACATCATAAGTTCACACCAAAATAAACTTGTTTGCAGGGGGAAAATGCTTATGAATTGTGATCTTCACATACCTGTGAATGTTCAAGTTTCCCCTGCATGAACAGGTCACACCACCAATACCTAAGACAGAGCAGGAAAACACTCTCCCTTACATGGTTGTTATGATTTAACAGGGGATGCGTTAATTTATATAGGCAAAATTTACAAGATGACCTGCAAAAGTAAAACACCAGGTTTTAGCAACTTTAGCAATAAACATAAAAACCCAAACCTGGGGCCTGGGATTTGGCTCAGTGTTTCCACCGCCTGCCTCATAAGCACAAGGGCCCGAGTTCAATCCCCAGTACCAAAAAAAAAAAAAAAACCAAACCTGATTAATGTCAACCATTAATGTGATTTCTTCTATCAATTAAATCAAAAGATAAATATAAAAATTGTTGGCTTTCCTCAAAGAGCACTTCTGTTTTCATGCAAACTCAGCTGGTTTAGACTAGCAGATTTTTGATTCTCCATAACCTGTAAAATTTCCAGGAGGCCAAAGCAACCTATTTAAGCTAACAGTACTGACTTTCTCTGGGATGGGACCGGGGTTGCTCACCAGTATGAACGCTCAGGCCAAGTTCAAATCTATCATCCCTTCATGTCTAGCCTACCAAAAATGTTCCATCCTGTTACAGTCACCTCACTAAATTGAGCCCCATGTTAGCTACCAGGTGTTCAACAGCAGACTGGAGCAAAGAGCCAGCCCACAAGGATCGAGCAAGTGCCTTTTTAAAAACTAATCTTAAGAAATTTCTCTTCATGGCTTTGCAAAGTAAGCAAAAACCATGCCAAATAGTAAAAAAGGCACTTACTTGACTCCCACAGGCCAGCTCCACACTCTAGCTGCTAAGATGTCACTGGCATGGTACATGGAGAGTGAGGAAGAAACGGTATCTTGCAACCACTGTAGGAATGGTAGTGAAAGACCTAAAAGAACAGAAAAAAGTAAAATCAATGTCAAAATTAAAGGCCCTCAGGAGCCTGCTCACATGGGTACCTCAGAATATAATGCCAAAGAAGAAAATAAAGTCTCAAAAGATCTTGTTTATGTCACTCTTACCTACTACAGTGATCCTTGGGACAAGAGGGTACTTTTTGAAGAATATGAATTGTAACCTAGAATAAATTCAGATTGATTTTTGAAAAGTTTTGCAATATGCTTTACTTCAGAAAAGTATTAAATCTTTGACTACCATAGGGTAAACTAAAAAAGATGTAAAATTAGGATCCTGAACAATTCACAATCCACTACTTTTAGAAATACTTTTAAAGGTAAGCTGGGTGTGGTAGCACAGGCCTGTAATCCCAGCACTCAGGAGGCTGAGGCAGGAGGATCACTGTGAGTTCGAGACCAGCCTGGGCTACATAGTGAGTTCCAGGTCAGTCTCAACTACACAGTGAGACCCTGTCTCAAAAAAAAAAAAAAAAAAAAAAAAAACTTTAAAGGGGGAAATTTTTTTCATCCTATCTCTGTACTTTTGAAATCAACAACAAGAAAAAAGGATAGAACTTTAATAAGCAATGAGGAAACAGAATTTTTTTAGTTTAAGGGAATTTTGACAACAGAAGTCTCAAACAAAACTCAGAAAACTTCAATGTCTTAAAAGTGGTGGGAGGGGAACTAGAGTGCTGCTAAGTCCTATAGCATTTGCCAAGCATGCACAAGATCCTGGGTCTGATCCACAGCACCGCAAAAACTCAATCAATCTGCTTTGCTACACAGCTTTCTGGAATAGGAGTTCTGTTTGGAAATAACCAGAGATCATTCCAAACAAGAAAAGAATAAAGAAGTCCTTTCACAATATCATTACCTTCTCTCCCCATACCTACACTATGAATGAGAAAAAGAATTGTGTGGTTAGCAAGAAAAACAACAGTGAAAAGAACAAAAATAATTTTTAGTTATCTTAATCATTTTCCTCCTTCCTATATTAAAAAAAAAAACTCTTTACTAAAGATCTCCTTCTTTTTCCCTCAGAACCATGGAAGAAACAAACAAGCTGCTGATTTTCATCATCCTTGAGGCTCTAGAATCTATAAAATAAAAAACAGCAAAAAAAAGGAGCAAAAATAATATTTTATTCTAAACAAGTGTTAGCCAAGACTAGTATTACAACAATTAATACATTAATTACAATATATTAATTCTAATATGCTTTAAATTGATCACTCTTTTTAACAAACAATCTAGTGGCTCACACTGCCCAGGTCCCAATTAATTTAATTAGAATGAGATAACTGTTAATAGCATATCTGGCCAGACTACATCTTTAGTGCCTAAGTAATCTTTTTTTTTAATTTTTGGCTTGTGTTGCCTTGCCTTAGCTACCGTCCCTGGAAAGCATCCCATTTATCAGTGTTTCCCTTGCTACCTCAGCACTTCCAGTTAATGCACTATGCAGCAAGTTACCGGGAGGGACAACCTGAATGAAGCTCTGCCCTGTATTCTGTAAAAATATTCAAACCTTACCAAGGATGCTACAAATGAAACATAACAGCATGAAATTGAGGAAATAAAAAAAATTATCAGATTTTTTTTTTCCAAAATAATGACTACAGGGCCAGGGATTTAGCTCAGTGGTGCCATGCCTGTCTCACAAATGCAAGGTCCTGAGTTCGATATCCGGTACCAAAACAAAACAAACAAACAAACAAAAACCAATGATTACAAAGTAAGAATACACAGTACATGAGTTAATAAGTAATTTCATTACTAAAGTAAATATTTATTTCACACCAATTATCTGTCTCGATACACACACACACACACACACACACACACACACACACACATACACACACGCTGATTCCTAGACCTCGTTTTTCTTTGGCTTGCTCCATAAAACCATGATAAAATTCAAGAGCAGTGTTTTTTGTTTGTTTGTTTGTTTTTGTTGTTTTTTAACCATAAAAGGCACAAAGCATTTTATAAATAGAGCAGAGTCTCCAAACTGCAGATAACTTCAAATACACAGAAAGAAACAATGAATTAATGCCAACAAGTTTCTATCCACAGTCTGTCAGCACTTGAAAAATCTGAGGATTTTAGCAAACCATGCTTTTGCTGCGGCAGCTCAGCCCGTTCTGAGCACACTGTACTATAGCAGATATTGCTCTGAATTTTGCACAAGGCATGTTCACCTGTACAGTGAAACATGACCCACTCTGCCTTCCCTGGGGGAGTACTAAGGGTTTTCCCAGGAATACGATAAACAAGGACACTGCACACCAAAAAAGGAAATTGGCATTTTGGAAGTCAAAACAACATTCTTTAGTCTAACTTTTACAATGACATAATAGATTCCTCTTTCCTGTCCCTCAAAATATTCAGTCAACAGGAGAATGATTAAATATATGGAATACAGACAGAAATGCTACATAGTAGTTAAAAATTAACCACATGTATCAATTATTTTCAAAGAATTAAAACGAACAAACTGCAGGATATGTATGTAATTCCTTCTAAGTAAGGGATTAAATATGCTTATAATACTACATAAGATTTATAGATACATAAACATACACATGTATAGACATATAGAGCAAAAGAATAAACACGTGGATGATAAACATCAATTTAGAAAGAGGATGAGAAATAGGATGGAGGAAGAATATCTGGATGCAGCAATGACTGTTTCTCAAGCTATAGGGCATATATTACTCCACTAGTTTTCATTGATGTGATGCTTTTTTGTTTTTGTTTTTTTGTTTTCTGAGACAGGGTCTCCCTGTGCAGTTCAGAATGGCCTTGAACTCACTACTATGTAGGCCTCAAATGTGCAGATCCTCCAGCCTTAGCCTCCAGGATATACTTAACAATTTAAAAAGAAAAGACATTTTCCCATTAGACGTCTGACTGGACACAGTGTAATTTCCTTACGTAGGACACCTTTCACCCTTAAAAGGAAAAAAAACCCTCTGGTAATGGGATGGCCTTTCTGGGTGAGCCCTTCTGACAGCACAGCCATCAGTCAGAACTTTGTCTTCTCTTCTGCTAGTGCTGTGATTTTCTGATGCTGGCTGTGATGTGACCTTCGGATCCTTAACTCAAGGCTTAGCTTGCCTCCACTTTTAATCTTATCAGAATTTTAGGCAAGAAACCTATGACAGTTCTCTTGCATTCTCTTCTTGCACTGCTAAAAGCTCTAGCAATCATTAAAATGTGGCACTAGACTATACTAAGAACTTGAATTCATTCTGAATCAAAGACCAACCCAGAATGAGACATTAAAATGAAAGAAAGAATTACTAGAGTTCAGCTCTCCATTAAAGAAATGTTCCAGAATGGGAAAAAAATAAGAACCAATATATGTTATGTAAAGGTAAAAGATCCCAATGATTAATGTAACTGAACTGTATACCCACACCTAAATTGTATCAATAAACTTAATGAAAAAAAAAGAAATATTCCAAAATTGTGTGATACATTATACTAAGTTCTTGTTTTACCATCTCAACAACTCATCATTAGCATCTCCTCAATTGTGCTTAGAAAAGAAATTTGGGGGGGGTACTGGAGATTGAACATTAATTAGGCCTTTGCATTGAGATACATTCCCAGATCTTTTTATTTTATTTTATTTTTTTAAATCATGAGACAGGATCTCACTAAACTACTAAACTGCCAAGACCAGGCTAAAAATTGCAATTCTCCTGCCCCAGTCTTCCAGAGTGCTGGGATTACAGGTGTTCACTACCCTACCTGGATGAAAACATTTTGTTTTGATACTTAAGTCAGAACTTAAAATTTTTTAAAGTTGTGTTTTCTTAATAGTTAAAAAAATTATTAAAAAAACCGGAAACATGTGAATGCATACCATTGGGGATTAGAGTCCCCTAATGGAGGAGAGCAAACCTAACACACAACTACCAGTTTGTGGTCTGAAAATTCATGTTCCTATCTATTCAGGAGTTTCTAGCATCATCACTCAAAGATCAAGGAAGGAGAGTTGAAAGAAACTGACATATCATGACAGACATAAACCGGTGGACTGCTTACAAAAAAAGAAAGGAATTCTACCAACAGCAAATGAAAAACCTTCAATCTCCAATCTTTTCATTAGGTTTTTATTTCCTCCACTCATTTGACTTATCTTTAAGTACTTCTTTAAAGTATTTTAACATCCATATTCTGTTTTAAAAAGAAAAAAAATCAGGTTTTTATCACACTTGGTCACTTGCTATAGTCTTGCTTCATGGCAATGAGGTCAGAGGAAATTCAGACACTTTGCTCCAAAATAAACACCTCCAAAAGTCTGTCATCTTTGGAAATATATATATATGTAAGGCATCTAGAGCTGGCATTATCTCTTTCAAATAGTTCTTTTCTCTCCTCTATAATATCTAGGACTGCTCAGCCCCTAACAATTCATACAGACTATATTATTGTATCAATTTTTAAAATTGCTTTTAACATAACAGTTCCATCACTTTTTCCCATGACTACTGTTACTTAGCCTTTTATATAGTCCTGCTTATTTCAGCGTATTGTGAACTGTTTTGTTTTTTGTTTGTTTGTTTGTTTGTTTGTTTTAGTACTGGGGATCGAACTCGGGTCCTTGCACTTGCAAATCAGGTGGTGTAAGCACTGAGCTAAATCCCCGGCCCTACTGTGAACTGTTTTAAGATTACTAGCTGTTGAATGAATCAGAAAAGTCATTTTTTTTTTTTAACCATGGTCAAACTTGGGACCTTGTGTAAGTCATTCCTTCTTAATACTCTACGATCTCCATCACTGTCAAATCTGAGCATATACAGCAAGATGATCTATAGCAGAGTTGAAGGATTTAGACAATAGACTTTAGGGTTCTTTAGCTCCCTGGCTCTCACCCACCCAACACTGACTGAGTCTATGTTCTTGACACTGTACTGGGCTGAGCTCACAGAGCTGGGAGAATGTATGGACTACTTGTAGTTGCCTATAAAATAACATGGGCAACTAACCACTTTCTAAGATTTCACACTAAAGATTCCATTAGTATAACCAAAAGAAAATAGAAACACTTTCTGTTTCAGGCTGGCTGTCCACAACTTAGAATTAATGTAGATAAATGTACCATCCCATCTTGCTTCAACACTCCAATCTCAACTGCTTTATCTCCCA